GAAGCTGAGGCTCCAATACTTTGGCCACCTCATGAGAAGAGAAGACTCCCTGGAAAAGACCCTGATGTTGGGAAATATTGAGGGCACAAGGAGAAGGGGACGACAGAGGACGAGATGGTTGGATATTGTTCTTGAAGCTACCAGCATGAGTTTGACCAAACTGTGGGAGGCAGTGGAAGACAGAAGTGCCTGGCGTGCTCTGGTCCATGGGGTCACCAAGAGTCAGACACGACTAAACAACTAAACAACAACAACAATTACTTCCCTTGATCTGGACATTATACTTCTGCTGATGCAGCCAAGAACAGCATTAGCTTGTCAAAATGAAAACAAAAACAAATACAAAGAAAAATTGCACAGCCATGCTGCAGAATATCTCACAGTCTGAGCCTCCATAGTTGAACGTTGTCAAACAGAAAAGTCAGGGACAAACTGAACATGATTCAATTTTACTCATATTTTAGCACCCCTGCTCCACCCCCTCCCACACCCCATGAAGATATCCAAAGAGCTGTTCTCAGTGTGAGAAAATCCATGCAACAGCCCTGGGAGCAACTCTTGTGTGAACGGGGAACAGAAATGGCAAGTGCTGGAACAGCTGGCCTTCAAATGGAAAAAACAAATGACACCTTTCCCACTTCTTAAAATGGGGTGCAACCAGGGTTTTTCCCCCCACTAGAAATCAGTTCCAGCCCTTCTTAGGTGGATGCCATTGCCACCCTAAGAGAACGAGGGTTTATGCTGAGTTCCGGCACCAACTGCAAAGTTCACTGCTGTGCTCTTGCACAACGCCTCCTTCTGCAGGAGAACTTCCTGATGGTTTGCATTCCACATTCCTTCCCTGTTTACTCTTGCCAGCAGCTTCCTCCTCTGCTTCTGTCAGTGGCATTGTGTGGGGAGAGCCAGGGGTGGTGGCCCCGAGTGCATTGGGGAGACACATTTTACTCTTTGTCACCCTGCCAGCCCCATGTAGGGCTGAGTAAGGAGGGCACAACAGACATGTACCCTTCCTGTTCAGGGCCCATGCCTGTTGCATCCTCCTCATGCAGCCTTGCAACACCACAATGTAGCTCAGGGCTGGAAGGCAGCGTGAATGTGCCCTTCAGGTGAATGCCTGTTGTGCCCACCAAGGGCTGTGGGCAGGCAGGGGCACAGCATGGCGTGGCCCTGCTTGGCAGCAGGGGGTTGGCAGGGGAGCGGGTTGGCCACTCTCTGCACTCCGCCCCCTGTTTTTGTGACTTTCTCACACTGAATTTTAGATGGAAGTTACTTGATGGAAGGGGACGCAGGTGGCTCTGTGGTGTAAACCACTGAGCCTTGGGCTTGCCGATCGGAAGGTCGGTGGTTCGAATCCCCGCGATGAGGTGAGCTCCCATTGCTCAATCCCAGCACCTGCCAACCTAGCAGTTTGTAAGCACACCAGTGCAAGTAGATAAATAGGTACTGCTCCGGCGGGAAGGTAAACAGCGTTTCGCTCTGGTTTCGTCAGAAGCGGCTTAGTCATGCTGGCCACATGACCCAGAAAAACTGTCTGCGGACAAATGCCGGCTCCCTTGGCCAGTAAAGCGAGATGAGCGCTGCAACCCCAGAGTTGTTTGTGACTGGATTTAACTGTTCGGGGTCCTTTACCTTTTTCTTTTTTTACTTGATGGAAAGGATCTATCCTTTTGTATTCTGCAAAGTCTATCTGCCTCTTGAAGCATCTTCCTCAGCTTGCCTCATGCTGGAGTCGACTTGGCCCCCCTCAAAGTATCTGCCTCAGGGCACCAGCCGACTGGGTGTGAGTGTGTGTTATTCCCTCCATCTCCCACATCTGCCTCAATGGATGTCACTGTGAGGAGGGTAGGGCCACGTAATGTACTAACAAGCTGGCAGTTGGCAGGGGGACTAACTCTCCAATGGGACCCACTCCCTGATAATGAGGCAAAAAGGTGCTGTGATGATCACACAGCACCGAGGTTAGAAACCATGTTATTATCCACAGAGCATAAAGGCCAGATCAGGAGGGATTTGGTGGAAGTGGGGGGAGGGGAGCAGCTCAGCAAATACACTGTGTTGGGGGATGAATCACTTTCCCTTTCAGGCATTGAAAGGGCCTATAAATAAACCTCAGAGAGACCAAAATAGCTTCCTTTCCTCAAGAACCTTTTGTTCAATGAGGTTAAGGAAGCGAAATTACTTCGCCCAGCATTGGAAGACAAACCCCCCCCCCTTCCCCAGGCATGGGGCAAAGGCGGGGCAGGAGGAGGGGTGGCTATTTCCCCTTGCTGGGCTCGGAGACAGAAAACAAGTCTCTTGCTGGTGGTGGGCATAACACGGCTGATAAAGGGGCCCTCCCTAGAACAGATTTGCAACCTCATGTGGGGGGGGGGTTGGCGGTGGCGGGGGCAGTTGCTTTGGAGGCTGCGTGATTCATGCATTATGTTTGGGGCAGAGAAGGTACAACAGCCAAGGCAATTTGCCCTGCAGATGTCATAGGACAGGCTTCCTCAACCTCGGCCCTCCAGATGTTTTTGGCCTACAACTCCCATGATCCCTAGCTAGCAGGAGCAGTGGTCAGGGATGATGGGAATTGTAGTCTCAAGACATCTGGAGGGCCGAGGTTGAGGAAGCCTGTCATAGGAGGTCCCTGTTCAGAGAAATTCAAAAGCAGCTGTGGTGGTGGGATGAATTGGCCCAGGGCAGCAGCTGTGCCTAACCCAGAGGTGAGCAGCCTGAGACCTTAGGCTCAGTCTAATTTCATGCAGGTAACAAGAAGGGGGGAAACAGCAGGGAGGGGTGACAGAGGGAGGGAGGGAGAAGGGGTGCCAGCCCACTTTTGGCTCTGGTGTTTTTTCCGCTCCTTCTTCTGCTGATTCCACCTCCTCTGTTTTGAACACCTTCTCAAAGCACCATTTACCTGCTTAATGGTCTTCAGGGGTGCCAACTTGAACAAATTATTGGGATGGGAGATAAGCCCCACCCAGCATAATTCACTACGACTCGGCACATATGCACATTTGCACACAGCATATGAATGGCAATGTTCATCAACTTAGGGGAGACCCTCTGTCCCCTCAAATCATTTTATGGGGGGGAGGGCAAAGGGAGCTCGGCTCCTAGGAGTTGGCTCCTTTGATGGTCTTCACCAGCAGATATCAGCCCCACTAAGGGAAAAAGACAGGTGCCCCCATTGTGCTCCCCCCACCTTCCCAAAGTGGTTATTGTCTGCTTGGAGGAAGGCCCAAGTTGATCTGGAAAGTGGGACGAAGAGGAGGGGGCAAATGTACCCAGGCCAGTACAGCTTCTTTGAGCCAATTGCCCCTTGACAGCTCTATGTAAGTAAGTAAGTAAGTAAGTAAGTAAGTAAGTAAGTAAAGGCACCAGAGGATCTTATCGTGGATCCGTTGTATCACATGTAATGTGGCCCTCTCTCCAAATGACACCCCTGATAACAGAACAAAGAAGGAAATAAAATAAGTAACTGATGGTTTGCTGCCCTGCAATAGGACTCTGAACTTGTTGCTTGAGTCAAGGAAAGGACTGCTATACATCTGGGATTTCAAAGGTCGAAGTGATGTCTGGGGGGGGGGGGAGATTTCCGAAAGGCGGGTGAAAAATCGCATTATCGTAAAAAATTTTTTTTAAAAAAAGCTCAACCGGGGTGTTTTGGTTTTTACTTTTTGAAATACAGTTTCATACACTTCAGGTTACATACGCTTCAGGTTACAGACTCCGCTAGCCCAGAAATAATACCTCGGGTTAAGAACTTTGCTTCAGGATGAGAACAGAAATCGTGCTCCGGCAGCGCGGCAGCTGCAGGAGGCCCTATTAGCTAAAGTGGTGCTTCAGGTTAAGAACAGTTTCAGGTTAAGAACGGACCTCCGGAACAAATTAAGTACTTAACCCAAGGTACCACTGTATAGCAACCCTAGCAAGGAGCCATCAGCTTGCCTCAAGTGGAAGGGGGTCTGCTGTGTTTCAAACATTGGGGCTGAGCAACCCCAACTCTTCATCCAGTCGAAACGAAATAAAGAAATTCCTTCCAGTAGCACCTTAGAGACCAACTAAGTTTGTTATTGGTATGAGCTTTCGTGTGCATGCACACTTCTTCAGATACCAGTGATAGTTAAGAGGCAAGAGGCACAGGCCCTTCCTTAGAGCCCTGCAAGGTTGTTCAGGTAAGTAAGGGCAGCATTTACAAAAAAAAAAACCACCACAAAAACAAAACCAAAAAACCAAGTAAACCAGCAAAAAGTTGCACCCCCTGTTTTGGAGGTGCCATTTGCCTTTCCTTGATGACTATTGATGGAGGTATGGTCCTACCTTATACCACGGGTCCACCTGTTGTGTCAGCCTTGGCTAGCAGTGGCTCTCCAAGGCCTCAGGCAAGGAAGGATATTTTCTAGACTGCCATATTTTCTGACATCCCTTTTAAACTGCAGACACAGGCAGGTGCAGTGGGGTGTTGAGCCTAGGGCCCTCCTTGAGAGTGCAAAACAAGTGCTTTACTGCCGCTGAGCAGTGAGCGTGAAGGATGACGAGCCCGGAAAACTGCCCTGGTTTAAAGAACAAGGGTGGTGTGGAAGGGCACCTGTGGATTCCAGGACAGTTGTGGCAGGGGGAAAGGTGAGCCCAGCGCAGCTTGGGAGAGCGAAAGCAACTGGCAAGAGAGAGCGGCCTCCCTGGTGTGGCAGATGCGATGGCTTCAGGACAAACAGCCGCTTAAGAGACGACACTAGTTTGCAAAGTGAGGGGAGAGAATGTGGTCCCTGGTCCCCGGCAGCCTCTGAGAAACAACAGCAGCTTTGGGAAGAGAGGGGCACCAGGAGGGGGAATAGGGATTATGGAGCACTACAAGGGGTGTTGTTTTTTTGTCCAGCGAAGAAGAATTCCACTGTGCTGCCCTGTCAAGGGAGGAGAGGGGGCTGGCACTGGCATCAGCAGGGTGGGACAAGGGGAGGGCTGTTATAACTGGTGTTGGTTTGTTGGCAGTCCTCCTGCAGGCAGAATTGTCTGGCTCCTGACTGCTGCAGACGTTTGCAAGGGCAGGAAGGGACCACCTGTGCCAACGCTGTAGCTAGGTAGGTGGAAGGGGCAGTGCCAGGGGGACGGGGTGGTTTGGGACGGGTATTTTATTTGTGTTTTAAATATATAGATATATATTTCATTCCCAACTTTCTGTCTCACTTCTGAATGACCAAAGGCAGTTCACTGTCACACACAAAAATTAACAATTCTATAATGTTAAAGGCGCCACTTTGCTGGTGTCAGTACAACACAGGCAATGTGGGGCACAGGTGGGCGTTGTCATGCCTGGGGGAGGGATTGATTGAGATGCTCAAGCCTAGCCCTACTGTTTATTTACTCCAGTGACATACCTCTGAGAAGGAGGGGAGGGGAAATGCCTGGTGCTTTGAAGTTTGACTCTCCCACAGCATGCAGAGAGAGCACGAAAAAGTGGTCTCTGTGAGAAGGCTGTCAAAAAAGTCACATCCTACTAAGTGAAGTCTCTTCGCCCTCCCCAATTTGCTCCCCTACAACCTCACAAGGTCTATGACAGCAGTGCCTCGCACTGAATACAACTGACTTGTAGAAAGGACTCTATGAATTGAAAACAAAGATGTTGTAGGTACCCTTGTTAACTATGAAAATCATTGAACAGAAACATTTTTTTAAAGTGACATGCTAGCTTGAGAGAGTCATAACCCCCCTCCCCCAACTCTCTCTGTCTCTTTCTCTTTTTATAAATTTGGGAACAATGACTCCAAGCCCAATAGTGTCATCCCTGACACATTCTGGTCCACCCTGAAATGTATTTGGGTGGTGTGAGGGCTCCCTCACATATGACAGAAATATAGGAAATCTGCATGTACTCCCATGTACATGTTTGCCATGCTGAACAGTGTGTACATGTGGTGAAAAGGCTGCATCTCAAGTGATGTTGAGCATGCCAATCCCTTTGTAGAAATGATGACAGCAGAGGCAATCAGCAAAAAGTGTTGGTGCTAGTGGCGTACAATCCAAATTCCCCATCCCGGTGGTACTCCCAAATTTTCTACCTGGAGCAGTCTGCCTCACTCTTCCTGATGGTGTCCATTATGATCCCCAAGTCCCCCTTTCTCCTGCTTTCTGCTGTTCAGATGAAGAATTCCTAACACCAGCCACATCAGATGCATTGTGGGGCTTTAAGGCTCAGAACCTGGTCAGAAAATCCATCCATTCATTGACTCGTTCAGGGTTTTGTTTTTTTAAAAAGTGAAGTCAATGTGACTTACAACCAACTATTTAAATAGTAAACATTAAACTGCAAACCAGTAAACTAAAAGACAGACAACAGCAAAAGAGAATAATCGAATGAAAATAAAAGTCCCAGAACAATAAAAAAACAGAAGCAATCAATAAAACAGGGAAACAAACCTCATCCCAGCAGCAAAACAGCAGTAAATGCTGCTTAATCCACCACAGGAACACAGGAAGCTGCCACATTGAGTCAGACAATTGTGTTTAGTGACTGATTGAACTTCGGAACTTTTGCATGTAAAATTCTCCTTCCTCAACCTTGCAATATATATATATTAATATTAAAGCTTTCTGAAGGACTTCTTGAAAAACTGGTTCTTTTGCCTGATGCTGAAAGTGCTTGGTGTTGGGCCAAGCTAGACTCTACGGGGAGGGCATTCCATAAATTTGGTATCACCACTGAAAAGGCCCTGCTCCTATTATGCACCTTCAGTCAGCAGGGGCACACAGAGCAGGACCTCAGATGCTGAATGTTGTGTACAGGAAGGGTGACCTTTAATATCAATAATACCACTAAAATAGGTAGAATTTGCACAGGTAATTTTATGTGTTCTGAGTGCTCTGCATACATACTCTCAATAATCACTGCAACAACCATGTAAAGTAGGCCAGTATTATTATTCCCTGTCTTGCAGATGTGGGGCTCGGGTTGAATAGTACTGGCTCACCTAAATCCAACCATTGAGTATGTGGCTGTGCTGAGGTTTGTTTTGTTTTTTAAAATAACTATTAGGAACTTGCCAGCTGCTAGTCAGGCTGTACACTGCCTACAACAGTTCTATAAGTCAGTGGGCTAAAGGAAATGCCCCCCCCCCCGTTCTAAACCTTGTTTTTCTACATCAAGGAGGGAAATTTTTGGTGGCATTTTGCATTGGTGACATATTACTTCTACCTTCGTTGGTTTCCTATTTGTTTCTAGACCTGGTTTATATCAACTTTATAGTGTTGGTGTTAGTATTAAGAGTCCTAAATGGACCAGGACTCATTTACATTAGGGACTGTCTATCTACTTCCTTATGAACCTGCCTAGCAATTAAGGTCAAGGATGGAAATCTTGTAGATATGTGAAATCACATCGGTGTGTGTATTCTCCATGGTAGTGGGTACCAATTTATGAAATGTTCTCATTAGAATTCTAACAAACCTAGAGGATACATTTCCTGACCATAGAAGAGGTACTCAAAATGAAGTCAAGGTACTCAATAATTAAAATATATTCCTTTACTCTGTGTGTGTGTGTTGTGTGTGTGTTTAAAATGACTTTACAAGGATAATCTAATTGGCCAATGAGATGTACAAATATTAATCATAATGTTAATATTATGGCTTATTTTTGTATGTCTCGTGTGGCCAACAAGTTTATCATTGTAAAGTCATTTTTAGTATTATATACCGTATATATATCTGGTACAGAAATATATTTTATTGATTTAGTACCTTGACGTCATTTTCTGCGCTCACTAGTAATCTGTTGTAGGTCTTCAGGTATCTTATAAGGACATTTCTGTTTCAGCAGGCTTGGTTGGCTACTCTGATTTTAAATCTGCTATTTTTATAGGTTTTGTATTTCCTGATTGAGATTCTGTTATTTTATTAGACTTTTATGCTGCTATCAATTATAGCAAATCTATTGAAAAGTAACAATATTGATTCTTCATTTTTGTGTTTTAAATTTTGTACACTGCCTTATGTTTTTTTCAGAAAATGATTAATAATAAGAATATTATTCTTATAAATATTAGAAGTAGGGGAAGTAATAGCTGGTGTTTGATGCCTTTATCATGATGATAATCTACATGATGATAATCTACAGCTACTTACTCATCGCTGTTCTTGAGCACCACTCCCATAGCATTTGAGACGCACATCAATTTGACAACTCCTACTTTGTCACTCTGGTTTGTCCATGAGATAATTTCAAGTCAAACAAAAAATACGATGATTATTGGGTGTGTGTTTTTTCTACAGTAAAGTGCTTTGCATTCTGTCTTTGTTCACCACCCGTGCGGTAGGACATTTCCACTCCCCCACATTTTGTAAGTCAGTAACCAGAGACAGTGACTTCTCTAACATAATCTAGGAAACCATGTGACATCTACACAAATGCTGCCATATCTTCCAGACACATTGCCATGCGGCAACCCGTGTGAGATAACCTACCGCATACATTGCCAGCTGTGTTCTTGCCATTGGTTGCCTCTACCACCGATACAAGTTGTCCAGACAGGTGCTAGGGGCAGACAAAACTAAAGGCTGAACAGCAACTGATTTCTGTTCATGGTCACATAAGTACCTCTGCTTCAAAAACCCACAAATGTCAAATTTCAGTGTGTGTCTCCCTCATTTTAAAGTAGCCCATAGAATTATTGAGTACCATCCCACAATAGTTTAAGCCAGATGTTTTCAACCTTTTTGACTCCACGGCTCCCTTGACCAACTACCTTCTTCCTGTGGTGCACCTGTGGGGCTCAGGAGCCCAGTTCTGTCACCTCTTGCCTGCAGAGCTGGCAACCTCTCACACTTCTCTGAACGCCCTCCCTTGTGGAGTGTTCCCTCGACCTCCTCCTCTCTCCTTGGGAGTCCTCTGGGCAGCCGCTACTGCTGCCCCTGGTCTCTGAGCTGCCCCCTGACCAGCCCCAGAGGCACCATTCACCTGCACAGCTTGTAGCCAGGGCTGCTGCAACAAACACCTGTGCAAGCCTTTGGGAGGCAGAGACACCCAAAGAGGGCATCAGAGGAGGGAGGGAAGCAAAGAGGGACAGAGGCCAGTGTTCCCCACGGCACCCCTGACCATCATTCAAGGCACCCCAGGGTGCCACGGCACACTGGTTGAAAACCACTGGTTTAATCTAATATGGGATGACATGGGCAGTTTATATTCTCGATTCAGAGGTGCCTTGACCATGAGATAAGGGGGGTCACCCACTTCTGGCCAAGCTGTATTGGAACGAATGGAAACTGCCAGGCTGAGTGGGGGCTTGAACCTGGAACTGGTCCTGGAAGTTGCTATTCGGTGAGGCTAGCACAGGGTGGCTTCTCAGAGGGTTTGTGCCCTATGTTAGTTAATAATAATAATAATAATAATAATAATAATAATAATAATAATAATTTATACCCCGCCCTCCCCGGCCAGAACCAGGCTCAGGGCGGCTAACACCAGTAAAATTACAATAAAAACATAATGGGGTGGGGGACAATTTAAAATACAGGTTAAAATGCAGTCTCATTTTAAAAGTAGCCCATGGATCAAAACCGTAAGGGGAGGGAAAACATAAGGGTCAGACTGAGTCCAAACCAAAGGCCAGGCAGAACAGCTCTGTCTTGCAGGCCCTGTGGAAAGATGTCAAGTCCTGCAGGGCCCTAGTTTCTTGTGACAGAGCCTTCCACCAGGAATACCATTCGCAGGAATACCATTTGGATTCCCAGTCTGACGTTACATACATATTAGCGGCTTAAAACACAACGAGGTCAGTGCAGTTGCACATTGTTGTGCACACCAGAAAGGGAGCAGAGATGCCTTTACCTGCTGTACATTACCTCCTTGGTCCCCCTGCCCCCAAACTCCTGTTCATGAAGCTGCCACCTGCGCCATGCGCAATGCGGTATTTCTTAAGGTATTTCCCAAGAAGTTACAAGATAGCTATGCATCATGGGCAGTGTTGTATGCACACAGATTCAAAAGCCAGTGCTGGGTGTGCACTGGAGCTAGAGAAAATGGTAATGTGTACACAGCCTCAGGCATCAAATTGTCTTAGGCTGGTGCGAACGTACAGTCTGTGAA